GTACCAAAGACCAGCCCCAACCCCTTCTCTCAAGATTCTTCGCGCGCCAGGTCTTGCCAAAAAAACAAAAAAAACACCTCTCGAGACCAAACGAAAGCAGCTGCCTCCGCGACCACGGTGCCTGATGGGTCCAATCTGGTGGATCTCTTCGCCGCTGTAGTCGAAGATGGTGACCCTCTCACCGGAGCTGGTCAACACTTTCCTCGCCGACCGGAGCAGAAGACACCCGACAGGTTCGTTCGTGGGTTCCCCGCACGGCCGGGCCGGGGGGGTGTGAACTCCGGCGTACGCGTTCGTTCGTGGTTGCGTGGCTGGAACGGAAGGCGGGCCCACCTCCATTCTCCTGAAATGAAAGTCGATGTGTCTCAAATGTTCAAAGAAGACCCTTGTAAGCCGGTGGGCTGGCTCCACAGAGCGGCCAAGCCTTCGGAACGAATTTGCTGCCTGGGGGGGATGCGAAGATGAGGCTTCTCCAATGCCCGAGCTGTTTCCCAGAACTCCAGGCCCCTCAAAAGGGCCAAATGTCCGCAAAACTCCAGGGATCTTCCACTCCCCAAAACCACCGGTGCCTGAATATGGGATGGATGAGCCTTGGGGTTCCCATCTCCGTGCCCAGTTCTTCCCAGTCGCGGATGCGGGCGCCAGACCGCAAAGACTTCCAGGTCTCCCGAGTCAATGACGCCACTGTCCGGGAGCAAGCGTCCCTGAAAGACCTGAGCAAACATTCCATGGAGAGGCATCAGTTTTCCTTCATCTTCCATGTCGAGTTTGCATTCTGAGAACCAAGTGCCTGGCCCAAGGAGCCTTGGAGTCTTGTTTCGAAAGCATCTTCTTCTTCTTCGTGGAAGACGCTGTGGTTTCCACGCTTCTTCCGCTTCCAAGGCGTTTTGTTCGGGTTGAGGTTGACCGCTACATGGACAAATTGATTGTAGCCCTTTCTTGTTCAAGGGTAGGGTGCCTTGAAGTTGTTGGAGGGGTCAGCTCTCTGACAAACTGAAGGCTATTGAAGGTCAAATTGAGCTAAAAACTACAGTATCAGGAAAATCTATGACATGTCAGACTCTTTCACTGGCATTGGGGCTATTGGAGCTCTTTGGAGTTAGCCTTTCCAAAACGCGCACCCAGCACAACCAGGCACAAGAAGGTTACAGTTGTTGTTGTAGCAGTATAGCATGCGCGTCAATTAATAATAGGACAACCTATCCCCCAAGAATGTTTTTAACGGGTAAAGCATGCTGAAAATACTCTAGCTAGGGACTGCTGTCAACGTTTAACGCATGTTGAAGGTTCTCCATCTAGTGGACTCTGTCTACAGATGAGCTCCACGCAAAGAAGAAAACACCGGCGACCCCAGATAGCAACTAACTCTCTAAGCGGAAGCACACCTTTTCCTCCTAGCCCAGCGAAACGAGGAGGAGTATCGTCCGATCATTCACGACAAGTGGGGAGACAAGTGTCTGCAGCGGCAGTGGTGGGCCAAGAATGCAAATCAGCCACCCAGTCATTGAGAAGCAAGAACCCCCATAAACTTTCAGCTATCTGAAGAAAAACGCCACGTTTGAAAAGCCCAAGGGGCTAGGTCAAAGGCTTCCCATCGGCTCTCACCGCGCATGCGCCTCACCTCCGTCCGAAGCTCGTGCCCCTTTTTCGGCGACGCTGCGGAACACGGCAGGGCCGCCACGGTGGCACCATCCAGGGAGAGCACCCGAAGCATGGCGCCAACGATCGCGAGGCGTGGCGGGTTGAGCTGCCAGCTGAGCACGAACGCGGGGGTGCAGTAGCAAGTTGGAAGGTGAAGGACCCATGGGTCGGCGATGGTCGAGGTGGGCACACGGTGAAAATGAATGACCCAATGATACGAGCGACGGTCAAAAAATGTGTTGTGGAGTTGCAGGTCATCAGGATTTGGTGAGTGTATTCTCAGTGTTCATGTCTGTAATGTTATTGTTTTTAGTGAGTGTGTTATCGTTTATGAGCGACACACGAATTTTTAGATCCCATGACCACCATTGGTCACTTTCACTAACTAACTGAGCCTCGCTCCATATCTAAGCCCTGGGAGTCCAAAATAATGTTTAAAAAGTTCCTTAGGTGATCCGAAAAGGACTTTCCTTTCACTTGGTTGGTGCCAAATACGAGTCTTGGTGGTTGATGAATGGTGGTTTTTCTAGGTCACAGGAACCCAACGATACCCAACGAGTCGTCTGGAATGGCCGGTATGTCACGGCCAGGATCTCAGACCATCTCGTCTGATTCTCAAGCATTTGAGCCATGGCCCACGGAAAGCACTTGACTTTCCGGCCCGCGAAACAGGACTGGCTGGCGAGAAAGCACGGAAGGAGGGAATGGATCCGAAGGTCGCCGAAGGCATCTATATATATATATATACAGTGCATATATATATATATATAGATCTACATATGGTTTATAACGGGGCATGGTTCCCTTCTCTACGAAGCACCGGCAGCGACCAGAACAAACAACGAGATCCAAGGACCCCCCCCACCTTCGACGTACAGGCTGGGCACGGCTTAGCCGGCTTGGCCTGGCAGGAGCTGTTCCTCGGACCATCTCGGGAAGTGTTCCACAAAGGGTGCCACTGAGGCATACAAAGAATCATGTTGATTTTCTGTCTGGCTGTGCTTTAAAGGTGATGTGTAGGACAAGATCCTAGCTTTTCATCAGCTTCAAACTTGGCCCGAGTGAGGCCGCCTGGTCACCCTCTTTATGGGTGCTCGGCCACTCGAGCTGTGCCGTGCGAGCTGTGGCGTGGCGTGGTCACGGCGCGAGATGCGTGACATTCCTACCCTCTGTCAACCAGTCTTGTAAAAATCGATTGAACCAGTGGTTTGTCGCAGGCCCTCCAACAACACGCCCTTTTCTTGAGCTGGATCTTCAGGACATGTGCCACACGCCCTCCCCCCACGCACGCCCTCCGCACCTGCGCCGAAGCACGTCTCAAAGCAGCCGCCTCCGCCTGCGCCTCTTGCAGGGCACGGCGCTCGCGCCTGAGCGACGCCCAGCGGCTAGGGCGGGGACGGTCTCTCTCTGACCGACCTGACCCTCGTGGAGCTGGAAATCGGAGCAGAAGACATGTTAGACCTGATGTCCACCTCGAAGTTGGAGTGGGGGAGCCCAACCCATCCCAATCCCCATATATAATATAAAGGTTATATAAAGGTTGTCCACTGACTGGGTAGGCTGAGGGTTTAATTGCAAAAAATGTGGCTTTTGGGGTCATGAAGACCCCAAAATCCCAAAAAGGTTTCTACATTGCCAGCGGAGAATAGGAGCATCCGTATGCGACATGCAGCGATCAAACCAAGATATCCTCCATGCTCCTCCTCTTGGAAGTCAACCAAAAAAGGAACTGCCAAAACTCCCTGAGGTTGTGCAGATTCAACCAGGTCACCACTGTCATGGTGTTTGTTCAACCTCATCTGGCCGTGGGTCAATACCTGGGAACCCTAGTTGACCCTGAAATTGGTCGGGGAAGTGCCATGATTCACAGCCATCGAATCACACCACAAGCGGCAGGCTCGGCTCATCTCACTGGGGGCACTGGCCCCAGGTTGCTTCGAAGCTCTTGGATCAGCGCCACCTGTTGAGAATCGCCCAGTAGCCTCAGAGTCACCAGCATGCCGCATGCCGCGTTTTTTGGGGGGAGGGTGTCAACTGTTAGACATTCACCACCAGTATTCAAGTCCAAGTGAACCATTAACCTAGAAGTCGTGGGCGATGTTTGCGACACATGCACCATCATGTGCAGAAACTTGTCTCCGCTCGATTCTGCTCGTCGGCTCCAAGCCAAGCAGCTGGCGGCGTCCATTCACAAGAACTACACTACACTATACCTTCTCTACCGGTCAACTGGGACTCCACTGGCGTCCGTCTGTTCAAACCTTCCAACACCTCGGCCACCCCGCTGGGAGAAGGATCTCCAAAAAAGGCCCGCTACCAAGGCACTGATCACCTCGGTCAGAAGCAAAAGGAATGACATCGACATAGGGGGAGAGAGCTACCGGAGAGCCCGCAGAAAAAGAACTCAATTGATCTCAATTGAGATTCTTTAAATTACTTGGGGATCGTATTGCTCTCAAAGCTGCTTAGAGCACTCTTGGGGCATCGGCTGGCTTGCACTTCGCCTGGCTAGGTAGCCCTGAGGTGCCCGACTAAGAGCATGCAAATCCCATGCTGCACCAAGCCGCGGCAGGCCATGATTCATGGCTTTGGGCACCGGCCCGTGTCGTCTTGGAAACGGGTGGTTCGACCGGTCAAGCCGCCGTTCCTGAGACGACGCTACCCCGCTCGAGCAGTGGCGCTCGGCGTCCTGGAGCTCAGTCTGCCTAAAAGATCCACTCTTTATAGAGCTGGGTGGGGTGTCCAAGCAGCCTGAAAAATGCGAGCATCGAGTGCCACAGTCTTTGTTGAGCCGAAAAAAACTGGTGTATGTCGGTCGGAACACCTGGAGGCTCCCTGGCATGCAGGATGTTCAGATGCAACTGATCATACAGTACAAGATTCGGCTACGGCACTTGCTTGCATTGGGATTCCTGCCAGCTGATTCATCCCTCCCACATCTGACTGACTCTTCTATGAAGGTGTGAACTCCTAGCTGAATAGCTTGATTATTCAGTTGGCTTGCGGCCGAAATGGCTGAGATGTGTTGAGTGTTGAGGCTTGAACATGAGTAGTTTTCCGCTGGTTGATTCCAGTATATAACTGCAAGAGCAAGTGCTAGCTGTTGACAAAAACACGATCTACTCCCCCAAACGAACACATACAACTGTACTTTTTCCAAAACGTGCCGAATCCATGCAAATCCCACCGGCTTTGGAATCCTCCGAACAACTACCAAGACCATCCTGTCGGGGTGTCCTGGCTGGACTACCCCACACTACCTATAGGCTTCCAGACAGGGCACCCCTTGGATGGTCCAGGTACTTGACTTGGAAAAAGTGGCACGTGGCATCTCTACCCAACCTCCCAGTCCGAGGCACGTGTCCGCCATGCTGCGGATGGGTTCCAAGGTATTCTGCCAGGCAACGTGCGTGGAACCACATAGATCGAACATGGGCGGGGAAGGGACCAAAAGAGACGCAAAACCAGGTTCGCGTCACGCACGTCGCAGCGGGCCGCTACAAGAAGCTCAAGGTTACGAAGTGGGGCTCCTGGCCTTACTACTCGGGGCGGTTTTTGTTCCTACGAACGTCGCAAAGGGCATCCACGGGTCCTTGTTGCGTCGCGCCGCGTGAGAAAAAGCGCCGACGGTATCGGAGGGATCTGTGGGACCGGAATCGACGGGTGGCCGGCGAAGCGGCGAAGCCGTGCATCGAGGGGAACGGATTTTCCCATTCAGGATCAGAAGGGCAGATCTTCTGAACAGATCTCCTTCTTCCATCTTCTTCCCACCGTTCAGGATCATGAAATGGACCTTCCCTGAAAGGATCATGGAAGTGGCAGATCGGGAAGAAGGACCTCTGGGCCCTGGCCCGAAGTATCGAAGACCAAATAGGGAATTGTCACTGGGATGGTCCACTTCCAGTGGTTTTCAGGGAGGATACATGGCGGGCCAGCGCCAACCAGTCATTCCATGTAATTCCCACTGTCTCCCGTGTGCGCAACGTGCGTGTCTGGAAACGCCCGTGATCCGATGGATCCTGGGACCTGAGCTATACTACCTGCGCTGCGACCTGAGACCATGGAGCTAATGGACTACTGCATGCTCGGACCAGAGCGTCTCTCTCGGTTTTCCGAAAAAATGCCGCTGCCTCGATGAGTTGCTTCACGATGTGCATGTAGAGCCGCTCGAACTGTGTGTAGCTCTTGTCGAAGGTGGTGATCTGCCCAGAAGAGTCACGAGGGGAAGCCCCGTATACGGGAGGGGCTGCTCCCACTAGGGTGGAAGGGTCCTGCAGGGGGAGGACTTCTGCAGAACCAGTTCGAGAGCCTCATTTTGGGGTTGGATGTTTGGGGCATCATCCCTCAGAGACCGGCCAAAACCAAGCCAGCTCATCACTTGTAGGATCTTGTAGGGTGGATTTCCTGTTGTGAGGTAGGGAACCATGAATGACCTAAGTAATCTAAGTGACTTCTAAGTGGGACCCTGAGACCCTGGAGCCATAGGAAAAATGCCCTCTGCAGCGCCCCCCTACGCCGTGGGAGGGGGATGCTCGACGCAGCAGGTTGGCCCGGTGTCCTTGTGGATGGGCCCTCGGTCCAGGGGGGCCCCCCTGCACCGATGAAAGAACCTCACCACGAAAGACCGCTGAGTTCATAAACTGTGCAACAGTAGGGGGGGACTTGCAGTACATTGCGAGTAATTTGAATGACTTGATATTCAATCCACGACTGCAAAAGGCTGAAAATGCTTGGCTTAATAAAGGGAAGTAGAGGGATTGGTCAACTGTTTTGTAATCAGACTGGTTGTTCGGTAAGCTCGCTCGACTGTTTTTCGGAATCTGGTCACCCAACTCCAATCTTGGCCATCACTTCCACTAAATCCCCCCAACCACTCAAAACGAAGCGTCGAAAAGCATCGACACTCAGCTGTACCTGAAAGAGACCAGAAGGTCCCATGGGTGGAAGACCCAGACTCCAAGAAACTCATACGACCCAGACTAAACCAGACTCAACTAGTATGCAGAATGCCACTTTGCTCACCCAACAACTTCGGACTTACCAACCTACACCACCCAGTTGGGGTGCCCAGTCTACCAACAGTCTAAGGGGGTAGTGGTATATCCCCCGCATCTTCCCAACGCCTTCCTTTTGTTTACTCGACCTCACTGCCGTCTCGAGTTTCTTCGGGCATCGCGGGGGGGCTGCCCGCAGATCAGCACCATGCGCTGTTAGTGTGAGTCGACCAGCGTCAAATCGGCACTTGCCCAACTCGCACGCCCTGAACATCTCAGAAGTGAACGGCTGGCACATGCTGGCACCAGCGTCAAGTCGCCGCAACCCAAATTCACCCCCCCGTTGTTGGCAGAAAAGAAACACCATCCGCTCCTTCAGTGCTTGATCTGTTTCGGGATCTGGGCCTCTCACACTGACAACACAGGCAGCCGATTTCAGCCAATTGCACTCTCTGTGGAAACATGGACCCCCAAGGAGACACAGGCAGCTTGAAATCTTGGCAGGGCTTGCATTTTGAGTGGACGATTCCCATGAGAAGACACGGAAAAGAACATATCCTTATTCCTAAAAGTCACTCTTGAGAAGATCAGCTTAGCCCACACCCTATCTACAGCCGATCCTCAAAGGGGCCTTCATCTTTGAACGAGCGCCGTGCCCCCATGCCGCCATGCGAGCACATGGACTGCTGCACACACAGGCTCAGGTGGATCCTTCCCCGTCGAGATAGGGGCCGCGTGGCGGCCGCTTCAGGACGGGTCTGAGAGAAACTTCCGGGGGTCACTGCATACTACACTACATAGGAACAATTGCAATTGATCCTCCCATGCCATCTTACATCTTATGCCACATGCGCTCAACCTCCGCCCGCAAAGGGCAGACCCGTCCTTTACGTTCCTTCAGCTCGAGCTCAAACGGCTCGTCTGACGTTCGGCCCACCCAAAAAGGCGCCGAACTACGCCGCTGCGGTGCTATGCCCCGCTGCTACGCCTTGGGTCGTTCCATCTGCGAGCGCCCGGTCGCCGGATGAGCAAAGAAGTAGACGCCTTTCTTCGACCGAGACTCTCGAACCTCACATGCCGGGGCAGGTCGGTCCGATCGGGGGGGGCGGCGGAAGAGAGTTTCGGGGAGGCGGAGGATCGGCGTTGGAGACATCCCAAAAAGGAGCTTGGAAGAGGAGGGGTCGCCGGCTTCAGGAGAGGGGTTCTCCCTAGTTGTTGATTGCCCTTGATGCCGGCCCAAACACGGAATCCGTGCATGAAGCCGTTCCTTGTACGTCATGTACATCTGCAAGAATGTGGCTAACTCGGTTTTCGTGGGGAGGTCAGTAAGTCTGAGCAAGCGAACTCAGCGAACACATGAAATGCAAGTTATTGACCGAAATAAATGGAAAAGTAAATCACCACTTTAAACATGTATTGGAAACCAGTTCTATCTATTTGGGGATCACTAACAAACATGCTAGCCGCTTGAGACAAATCAACCCATTGGGTCGTGGTCACTGCCCATGGTTTTCCATGTCCATGCTTGTCAAGCAATGCTGGTCCGCATTCTAGGCAAACCACGTCGTGACAAACAATGCGACACACGTTCATCACCAGAGTCTCTGCAGGAGCTTGTGCTCGAAAGAAACGTGTGCTTTTGACAGCACTTGACAGGCTCAAGCCGGGAAAGGTTATGAACCATGCTGGCTCCAGGTTCTGAGTTAAAACTTGGATAAGTTTGACAACCATTCACGCACATGCACACTAGCTCCGCATCTGCTTGGCATTCCACCATTCCAAGCACAATCACCGGTGTCAATGATTGAATATGAGCATGTTGGTTGCCATCAGGTGGCTCGACTCTGACATGGATTGTTGCTAAACATGACAACATGTACAATGATGTACATGTATAAACGTCTTCTGTGAGGTCGAACTTTTGGCCGACCTCCAGCACCAAACGGACCTCCGTTTCTCCTCCCCATCGCCGTCGGCTGCGGTCGTGCCGTCTCGCCATGGTCATGGGTGTCAACGAGCTACGTGTGAGAGCTACCAGTGGCTTTGGGCGCTGAGAAGCACCGGAACCATCTCAAAGGGATTCGTTCTTCAGGCACTTGGCCATTCAGGTGGCGGTGAACTAACTAGCTGACAGTCCTCAAGTTACATGGCGCTCACACGACGCAAAAGAAGAAGGATTCGTATGCCGCCCGTCCCCCACCCGCAACCAAGCTTCTTCCGTCGCCACCCCACCACTGTCCTTTTCTCGTCTCGACCTACCTCATCCCACGCGACCCGCCTTTCCCGCCGACCGCTGGCGGGAAAATTCGCCCCAAACGTGCCAGCTGTGGGGCTTCCCAGCCAGCTGGTAGACCAGCCTGAAGTTCTTTGAGTTTCGGGTCCAGTAAGACACCTGAGCACGGCTCAGCCACGTTTGGTGCGCCGGACTGGGGTTCCCCGGCGGGGCGTTTGGTTGGGGCATGGTGGCAAGGGAGAAATAGAAGCGGCTGGAATTGGGGCATATCCCATAACCAGGGCCCACTGATCATGATGGTTGGTAAGGCCTGTCTCAAAATACCGACCCTGAGGGGTTCATTACTGGCTCTAGCTCGAACCGACCCCAAAACACAACGGACTTTGCTGTATTGCAAGGCCAAGTGGAATTGATATGAATTGATCATCTATACCAACACACCACGGTGTGGTTCATGGACACCATTGGACAACCGCGAGTCACCTCTTTTCGGGGCTATCACATGCTATCTCTCGCTCGCTCTGCCATGTCTGGCGGACCGTCGGCATCTCAGACGGCTTCAGCAAGCTTTCTTGGATAAGTAAGCATCACAAGAAAAGAAGTTCGTTTCCTGTTGTTGCACGCGGCCGTTCTAGCATTATTAAAGTTACCATGCAATCCATATTCTCAAATACAGTAATATTGGAGTCCAAACGAAAGTCTGGTTAGAACAGAAGGACGGAGCATCATCATCATGCTGGTATAGAAGGAGTGTTCTCGCATTTCTCTTCGATCCAATCCTTGAGGATTCGATCGGTTGACGGGGCCGACCAACTCCCCGGGAAGCATCGCCTCTCACCTAGGGGCACTGGTCGAAGGAGGGGTCACGTCGACCGCACGGGAGGACGGCGGTTCTCCTGCGTTGTTACCGGGCCTGGCTTCGGCGCCGCAGGCTTGGCCGGCCGCTTTGGGGGGCCGTTTTTCCAGGCCGCCGAAGCCTGAGTCCGGTGGTGGGTGTGAGACAGTTGATTCATACAACCCCCTGAGACATGCAGTGTACAAGTTAATGGTTGCGAATCTGAGCCTGCCCATGCCTGCCCCCATTTGATCCGCCGATCAGATCCAAACGAATCCAAAGCTACGTTTCTTTGATCTATCAGGGCCTTTTGGCATAATCTATAGAACGCGGCTCGGCCTTTTGGCATCTGAGGCCCATGCGTCCCGTGAAACGCACGCCGCAACTCTGGCATCCCACGCGATGCGACGCAATCATCCGACCGCGGACCGCGGAGCGAAACGGCACGGGTGCGGCCTCGCGCACGGACATGCCCTCGAAATAGACGCTCAGGAATGGCCCAATGGGGACCTAGCAGGGCTCGATCTGGGGAAGATGCATGCAACGAACTCTCTTGATGAGGAATTTTCTTTCAAGGAGTGGAGCAGTTTTTTGGAGCATTCCAGCATGACGGGTCGGAAGAAGTGGCTGAGTGTCACTGGAAACCCTGTGAGAGCCTGGCCTTGGCAGGGCTCATGGTGTCATCTTCCGGATCCAGGAAGAAGCCGCTAATCACCTGAGACCGCCCAGCCAAGAATAAGAACTCCAACCGTGCCAAAACCCAAGGTTGGGGTGGAAGGGCGACTAAAGATACTAAAGCAACATTTCTCTAGCAAGTGCTAGGCTGATGCGGACAGCCCCCTGGCTTCCTCCAAACCCTCCAAACCCTCCAAACCACTAGCCAGTTGGAAAAATTAGACTGCTGATTGGTAAAAAAGAAACATTTGTATTGAAAAACCTCTGTGTGTGGTTTTTTTTATAAATCAACAGTCATCAACAGTCTACATTAATCACTAGTTGGGGGTTCATTTGGGTGGAGGAGCTGCAGCGAGTGGTCAGGTTACGTGGGGAACCGCCGAGAAGACCCAGCTCTGCGGCCGTTGAATCATGCGAAGAATTTGGGGGGTCAATCATGTGAAGATGGGCAATCCCTTATGTCGG